GGCGGGGCCACCGCCAATGCAGCTTCAGCGCTCACTGCATCGGCCGCCGCGGCCCCGCCCTGACGAAAAAACGAATCACGCATGGCCGCAAGCTGGCCTGGCTGCAGCGACAGCAGCGCAGGCAGCGAATGCTGCAGCGGCTCGCCGCGCCCCGCTGCCTCGTCCGCCTCCTCAACCTCGGTGCCCCATGCAACCCGGCCCTCGGACAGTGGGGGCCGCGCGGCATGGCCGTAGCCGCGCTTGCGGGACGGGCCGCCTGTGTAGTAGGCCGCCTCGCCCACCTCCCCCGCGTCGGCGCCAACCTCCCTGGCTCCGAGCCTGGCCGCTTCGTACGCCGCCTCCTCCCCCTGCTCGTCAAGCGCGGCTTCGTCGCCCTCATCCCCGCCCGCCATCAGGCTGTCGGGCGCATCCCCCTCCCCGCCGTCGCTGCAGGCGCCGTCCACAGTGGCCTCGTCCAGGTCGCTGTCGCCGCCCACAACAGGCGCACCAAAGCGGCGGCCCTTGCCGCCGCCTGCAGCGCCGCTGCCGCCGGCGTTGGCTGCCGCGGCGGGCCCTGCGCCGCCCAGGGTTCCTCCCTCCTCCCCCTCCTGCCCCTCGTCGTCCTCGTCATCCTCCTGGTCCAGGGGCACCCCGTAGCGGCTGAAGTGCTCCACCTGGGGGCGTGCAGGCGGGCGGAAGCGGCGCGTTGTGGTCTAGGCACGCCAGCCCACTTCCAGAGTGTAGTGTGCGCTGTGGTACGAAGGAATCAGCGGGGCGTTACGAGCACTTGTCTGGTTTTGGCGATTGCAGTGGTGAGCGCTGTCCCCGTGCCGCCCACCTTGAAGCGCCAGACGCCACCGTCCGGCTTGTAGGCCACAAACTCGCCCCCCGCCTCTGCACAGTACCGCCGCAGGCGCTTTTCAAAGGCTGCCACCGACACAGGGTCCGTCACAATCTGAGACAGAGGTTTTTGGGGGGGAAGGGCGGCGCGTTAGATGTCCAGTGCCAGCTGTATGGGTGGACACCACGGCGCCGACGGCAAGCACGAGGCAGCTCTCCATGATCGATGACCCGCACATGACCACGGACCACGCACGGTGCCATGCAGCCCGCACCTGGCCGCCTTTCTTCTTGTGCACGTTGAGCAGCGTCACCTCACAGCGCGTGTTGAGCTCACAGCCAACAGGCGGCTTGACGGTGTCAACGTACACGGCCACCTCGCCTGGCAGGAAGGGGACGAAAGGCCAGCAGGGGAGGGGCTGGGCGCAACACCGTAAAATGCAAATGGAACACCTCTTACGACATTGTTGTGAAAGATGTGAAGGGATAGCTGGTGGGTTCCAGCAATATTGGTGTCACCCCCGGCCCTCTTGTGCGGTGGCCGGTAAGCCCACCCTGGCAATCAACCTGCTGCCCTGAACCGTCCCCTCTTAAGCTCCAGGCTCCAGCTGGCTCAGCAACCCCACACCACCTCACTACAAGAGCGTCAATGCACCATCACTCAACCCCCACACCATGCCCGCCCACCTGGGTCGATGCGTGCGATCTGGTCCAGCTCGAGGCCCCTCACGTCCACAGGCACCAGCCACCGCAGGCTGCCCACTCCGCGACGCGACAGGGAGAATCCCGTCACGCCCGCCAGGGCGCCAGGGTCAGACGCAGCCAGGGCCTGGGGAGAGGGGAGGCCGATGGGGGGGATGACACGCTGGGCCAGTGTGCAGTGACGAGGACACAACAGACACCTGTGGATCAGGTGACTAAGCCAGTTGCCGTAAGCGAGCTGAAATTATGTGACAAAACGCGGGTACGCAAGCATCATGTTGGCTGCAACCACAGCACCAGCGTGTGGTGTGATTGTAGGTCATCGCCGGCAACGCCGCACCTGCAGCTGCCTCAGGGACGGCTCTATGCTGTAGCCAGCCATCGCGAGTGAGCCCAGCTTGGGCAGCAGGTCAGACGCTGCGGCCGCAGCGCCGTTGGCCGGGGAGCTGCGTTGGGGGCGGGGCAGCGGGACAGAGTGGACTTACGCACGGCAGCATGCCAGTCCACTGAAGAGGGCCGAGTATAGAGGCAGGATATTTGTCACGGGGTTATCTGACAGCCAGCGAATGCACACGCACGCGCACCCACCCGTCCGCAGCCGCCTTGAAATCGCGGGCTGTGGCCCCGCCGTTGCTCAGACGCTCTGCGCTGCGCGGCCGGCCAGCCGGGATGCCCGAGCCAGCCGCAGCCGCCGCGGGGGACGGCGTGGTGGCGCCGCCGCCCCCAGCTGCGCCGCCTGTGACAGGGGTGCTGGGCGTGAGGCTGCTGCGGGAGGGGGACGCGCTCGTGGAGGGCGGTGGCTCGCGGATGAAGAGGCGGTGCGGGTTCTCTCGCGCTGGCAGCAGCGCGGCCGCCGGCGACGACACCGCTCCGGCGCTGGCCCCCAGGCTGAGGCTGGGCGGTGAGGGGCCGGGCGACGCTGCGCTGCGGGGCGCGGGGCCGGCGCCGAATCGTGGTGTCGCCGAGCGCAGCATCAGCAGCGGCGAGGGGCGCAGTGTGGTGATGGCCTGGCGCGCTGGTCGGGCGCTGATGCCGACCTGCAGGGGGTTGAAGAGTGGGGGCTGAGGATGACGAGCGGGGAGGGGCATCGCGGGGTGTTCACCAGGGCAGGGGCCAGGTGCGCCTACGGCGGTCACCAGCAAGCAGATGGAGGGAAACTGCATTGCATGTTGCTGCACGTAACGATGCATTTTTGCGGCAGCAGCTCACAACCCCGCCTCTGCTGCCCTCACCTTGGGCTCAGGCACGTTGACACTGGGCAGCGCAGAGAGCTGGCCGTACGGGGCCTGGCCCACACCTGCCGGTTGCACTGCGGGGGCCGCGGGCTGCGCGCCCGCCGCGCCCTGCGCAGGAGCCCCAAAAGAAGATCCAAAGTTGCCGAAGTTGAAGCCGCCACCAGCCGGCTGGCTTGCCGGCTGGGAGAACGAAAACGCAGGCGTCGAGGACGCTGCCCCAAACCCGGCGCCAAATCCACTGGCACTTGCGCTGCTGAAAGAGAATGTACCTTGAGAGAAGGGAAGCACGGCGTTTGTGACTGACTTGTTGCTGGATCGGGCAAGAGACCAAGCACTCGGTACACACAATCACGCTGCGCGGCTTGCTCTATGCAATGCAGTAGCACCCCATCACGTCCCCAACCACGCTCACTTGCAGCAGGAGCGCTAGCACCAAACGCTGGCGAGGAGCTAGCGCCAAACCCAAAGCCGGGCGAGGTCGCGGGCTTGGCGCCGAAGGCTGAGCCAAAGCCGCCAAAGGCGGGTGCGCTGCTGGCTGGCGGGGAGGCGCCGAACCCCCCAAACGGCGAGCTGCTGGGGGCTGCCCCAAATGCTGGCGTCGTGGAACCAAAAGGGCTGGGGGATGGCGTCCCAAAGGGCGACGCGGCCGAAGCAGGACTGGCGCCGAAGGGCGACGGCGATGGCGACGCCCCGAATCCACCAAAGCTAGGAGTGGAGGCTGTGTTGCGTGGGAGTTGGGGGGTGTCGGGAAACTAGTGCTTCATGGTGCCAATGGACCATAGGCTGCTGCTTGAGGCTATGCATGCATGCCAAGCGCTCGAGTGGTATGCAGCCCAGTGCCTGGTTCGGAGTTTCGCCCGGGAGCAGGCACGCACTGACCTGGGGCCCCAAACGCCGGCGTGCTGGTGGCCGTGCCAAAAGCAGGGGTGCTGCCGCCGAAGCTGAACCCTCCCGGGGTGCTGGCCGCCCCAAACAGTGACGCCGAGCTGGCAGCGCCAAACGCAGGCGTGCTGGCTGCCCCAAACCCGCCAAAAGCCGGGGTGCTGGCACCGAACGCGGGTGTGCCGCCGCCAAACGGGCTGCTGGCCTGAGCTCCAAATGCTGGGGCTGCAATGAGGGCAGAGCGAGAAAAGCGAGGGCGTCAATTGCGTTCGCATGCAACATTAACCCACCCAAATCATCCATCTGGCAACACACACGCTTGCAACCCCCATGGTGATGTCCACAAACGCCAGCCGGGAGACTGCCACAGCAGCAGCAAAGCGTCACTCACTGGAGGCAGCACCAAAGCCGCCGCCAAATGGCGACGAGGCGGGAGTGCCGAATGGGTTGGCGGCGGGCTGGCTGGCGGCTCCAAATGCTGGCGCTGGTGTTGCCCCAAACCCGCCAAACGCGGCCGACGATGCGGGGGCACCGAAGCCGCCGGCGGCCGGTGGAGGTGCTGACGAGGCGTTCTTGACTCCGGCCTGGTAGTCCTCCCAGCGCAGCTCATCGACGCTCTTGTTCTGGTACTGCGGCATGGCTGTGATGGTGTTGTAGTAGACGGGGCCGCCGCTGCTGGTGCCGCCGCTCTGGTCCTTGTCCTGGTGCTTCTGGTACGGCACAACGCGCGTGCCCTGGGCCGCCCCGCCAGGGGCCGCGGCCTGTGTTCCGCAGGGCAGACAATGGAGGCAGCAAGTTGTCAGACCGCCAACGAACAGATAATACACACCAGATGATCCCACGCCAAACGCCCCATCCAAGGCAGCATGGTTTCGCTCAGGCTACAATTGCAGCTGCGGAGCGTGCAGGTACAAGGCGCAGCCACCACACTCACCCCAAAGCCGCCAGCGCCAAACGCACCGCCACCGCCGGCGCCAAACGCCGGGCTGCTTGTTGCCGCACCAAACGCCGGGGTGCTGGCGGCCCCAAAGCCGCCGAAGGCCGGCGTGCTGGCGGGCGCACCAAACCCGGGCGCCGACATCCCAAATGCAGGGCTGGCTGCGCCAAATGCGGGCGTGCTGGCCGCCCCAAACGCCGGTGAGCTGCCAACACCAAACGCTGGCGTGCTGGCTGGGGCGCCAAACCCGCCGACGCCAAACGCCGGCGTGCTGGACGCCCCAAAAGCTGGAGTGCTGGCCCCAAACGCTGGCTGCGGTACAATCGTGAGCATTGAGGCATGGGCGGTGGATGGGGGGCCGTCAACGGGCTTTGAAAAGCAATGCGGTGCCATGCATCGCAGGGCAAGCCTCCAGGCCTGAATCATGCGCCAGTTGACAAGGCCCAGGGGACAACATCAGGGAATTAAATGTTGGCCTCACCGCGCTCGCGCCAAATGGGCTGGCTGCAGGTGCCGGTGAGCCAAAGCCGAAGCTGCCCGTCGCAGGCCTCGCCTATTGTGACGTTGCAGGGCAAGCAGCGGCAGTTATGATCGTATTAATGGAGCTGCAAGGCTGCCCAGGGGAGCCACGCCACGGGGTTTGTCATAACCCACAAAACACGGGCCGGCAACGGGCTTTAGTCCCTCCCCCTGACTCACCCCGAAACCAGTTGCGCCGGCGCCAAACGCGGGCGCCGCCCCAAAGGCGGGCGTTGATGCCGCTCCGAAAGCCGGCTGCGGGCGGACGCAGCAATGTGTAACACCAACGCAAGTGCCAGGCGCATATCAGATCAAGTCAGCAGCACGAATTCATCACAGCTGCTCGCGATTCGCCCGCAGCGCAGTTGCTGTCGATGAGGCGCACCTGCGATGCGCCAAATGCACCTCCGCCTGCGGCTGCCCCGAACGCCGGCGTCTGTGAGGTGCCGTGCGCGCGATCGATTCGTGTGTCAGTCCCTACTGTCCCAGCCAGCCTGGGTGTATGGCGGGTGGCTCTCCGCAGTCCGTCCCTGCGCTGCTGCGGCCGCGGGTGCATGCAAGCGTTGCACTCTCAAATGCCGCGCACAACGCACCTGACCAAACCCGCTCCCGCCAAACGGCGAGGACGCCGCTCCGAACGCCGGTTGGCTCTGGCCAAAGCCTGCATGGCATTCATTCCAATAAGATGAGCTTGGCGGCGTACGGGGTCGCTGAAGCCGAGATCACCCAGTGATGCTGCTCACCCCCGAACGCGGGCTGGCTCTGTCCAAACCCGAACGACATGGCGTGCGGATCACTGCTACTTCTTCTATAGCTCGACTATGCTAAGGACCTAGGAGATCTATTTCAGGCAGATCACTGCATGGCTCACGATCTCCAAGGTATTCAACTCGGACCCGCGACAAAACAGTACATCACCGGTTTGGCGGCTCTGCCGGCGCTGCATCCTGCGTCCTCCAAAACAGTGGGGGCGGCTGTTTGCTCGGCAACTTCAGGGCGGGCGTCGCGCGACTGGCGTCTTTGTAGCCGGTCCTCGCTCCTCACTGCTTGGGACGATGAGACTCGCACTGTATCAGTCCATTTGTGTCCCCAGCTTGGGTGTGTAGGCAGCTGCATGCTGCCGCAAAGGCGGTGGCTCACAGCCAGGCTGCTGGTGGCATTCTCTACCAACCCTGTGCCATGTCGGTCAATATACTCGATGACGTGGCTTTCCTTCCATATAAAGGGGGTGCCCAGAACCCGACAGAAAAACGCCTCATCTTGTGAAATTGTTGTTACTTTGATCCAAAGCCATCCTGAGAATTGATTGCTGGGCGTTGGGGGTGTTGAGGGCACGAAGGGCTGCAGGGGAGGGAGGGGGGTGTCAAGCCCGCGGCTCAGGCCATCTCCCCGTCGTCGACGTCGTCTCCGGCCCCTGACGAACCACCGGAGCTGCCGTGCCACATCGCGCCAGCCAGCAGCGCCGCCCGCACCCGCGCCTGCGCCTGCGCCTGCTCCGCCAGGTGGGCCTCCAGCGTGCCGTCCAGCAGCTGCTGCGCCGCCTCGGCCGCGCCACTGCGCGCGTGCATGCTCAGCAGCGTAGTCAGCCCCACGGGGCCGCCCACCGTGTTGGCCATCGTTGCGAGGGCGGTGCGGAAGGTCTCAAACAGCGGGAGCGAACGGATGATATCGTTCCTGCATGAAGGGAGTATGGAAAGGGGAGGCACGGGCAGGGGGATGCGTGCCAGGTGAGGGGGGAACAGGTCGACCGCGATGCCAGCAAAAGGAGACCTGACCCATCCAGCACTCCATCAAAGCCTGCAGAAGCCCAAACCCGAGCGTTGCGCGTCCTGGGCCTCACTTGCTGAGGTTGACGCGCGCGGCCAGCACATAGTCGCTGCCCAGCTCCCCGGCAAAGTCCATGCCGTCCAGGTGGGCCACGTCGCCCTTGAAATCCGGGATTTCACGTACCACCTGCAAGGTGTTCGGCCGGGGAGAGGTGGGTATGAAGATATGAAGGGTAAGAGAAAAAAACACAGAAACCCAAATCAGGTGAATAGCGGGAGGAGGCTGTGTGAATTCAACGTGGTGCGACCCACAAAGCGTGGCTGGAGCACCAGCGGCAGGTCGGCGTGATGCCCCCACCTTGATCATGAGGTTGGCGAGGTTGGCAATGCTCTTGGGGTCGAGCACGCTGGGAGACAGGGCGCCGCTGTTGATGAGGGTGGACAGGCCTGCCGCCGCCATCCGCCGCCGGAAGCGGCCGAGCATGGCCATATGCCGGACGCCAATCACCTCTGCGCATCATGACCCCGTGGTTGCGGCGGCGGTGAGTAACCAGGCACCTCACCAAAACATGTGCAGTTGTTTCATAAACCAAGCAAGCATGCGTATATCCTGCAAAAAATCACCAGCATTGGCCCCTGTACGTCTGCCATCTCTTACCCTCCAGCAGTGTGACGTTGGCGACACACAGCCAGCGATCCAGGAAGCGCTGCTGCACCGCCGCCGCTCGCTCCTCAGGGCTCTGTGGCTGATTGGCACCTGCCAAG